TTTCCTTAACGTTTGTTACGGGTTTGTTTCCAGAAAATCCAATATTTTCTAAAAGATTTGTTGTAAATGGAAATGAAACAAGGCTTAGTATGTGCAAGTAAATCGTCATACTTATGTGTGTGTTTTATATTTAAATAAAACCCCTTGGTATAAAGCCTTAGAATTTCCGTGAACTGTATGCTGTGTTAATATTCCATGCGAGGTGTTATAATCATACTAAAGACTAGATGGCCTTGAAATGCGATGTTCTTCAGGCGTCGGAAAGTTATGACACTTGTCACCACAGACCTGCCGGTTTAGCTATTGCACGCAGCTCAGGTGCGGGTTTGTCGGACCCATTATAGATCTATACACAACTATCATGTTCTCCCTCCAGGAGATTCGGATTATAACTAAAGGACTTTTCTGTGGTACTTAGAGTACCCCGAAGGAGAATGTCTCACAAATATTCATTAACGAGTTCACATAGTGTGTAGTGAAAAATTCGTTTTGTAAATCGATAATGTTATTGTTTTCTTTGTTAAATGAAGTGTTCAAGACTATACCTATTATAGTCTATCAAAAGTGTTATATGATGGTATGAAACCTTGTTACGCATGTATATGTGTTTCAAATAAATGTCATTGGAAATACTAAGTGTAAATCTTACACACCTTGCTCAACATGTTACAAGGCGTGAATAACTCTTAAATATGTATTCGACAGTTTTACCCTTAACTTTCACTGTTTTTGAGTAATTATATAAAAATCATCGTAAGTCGAAAACTGAATCCGCAAACTCTGAGCATTTGGAAAAAGTGTCTACTGTGTTCATAAATTTTCCCATAATTTTTGGTGGTCTCAAACCAGTGTGAAAATGTTCATCTTCACAAACTAGTCTGATTTTGTTACTGCTGTGATAGGCAGTTTTGTAAAAATCACCATAAATTGTAGAAAAATCGTATGGAGATGTGCAAGTAGTCATTTTAAAGGTACAAACCTGAACTACTTGCATATTAAACAGTTTTGAAAAATATTAAGTTTAAGTTAGGTAAAACAGTTCGTGAACAAGTCACAACTTTTCTGTTGTAAGCTGTCGAGTTAAGTTTTGAATATGTTTTGGTGTTTTAACTTGTATTCCCCCCTGAAAACTGAAGAAAACTAGAAAATGTAGGGGTATGAACTCACCTTGAGTGATGACTTGAAGAGTGGGAGGTTGAAGTTACGGAATATCAAGTCAAGAGCACTTGGTGGACACGTGAAGACTTGGATGATCCAAAAAGTGCAGTAGCAACTCAAGAACACTTGCACAAGGTGGTGGAAAGTAGAGAGAAGGAAGCTTTCTTGAGGTGATATGAGAAGTGTGTATGTTTAAAATGAGCAAGTAAATCAAGAAATCCTCCAGGGATTTCTTTATATAGAAGGTTGCTGGAGTAACTTGAGAGTTTGAAATGATGTGTGCCTTGGTTTGTGTGATGTCGATAAGGTGGCAAATGAGAGGATGACACATGGAGGCAAGTGGGCACACTTGACCCACTTGTGGGGTAGAATACTCCTCTTATAATAAAATAATGATTTTTAATTAAAAATCCTTGAAAAATAAATAAAATATGAGTTTTGGGGGTTAATAATGGTAAAAATATGAATTTGGTGAAAAAATCCCGTCAAAAACGGGCTTAGGAAGCGAAAGTGGTCGAAAACCGGACAATAGGGACCGAACCTGCGAGGTTCGGCTCTAAGAGGTTGAGAACCGAGAGAAGGGGAGAAGGAACCGAGAGAAGACCGAAGGTCCGAAGGGTGGAAGCCGAAGGTGCGAGGGGAGGGCCGAAGGTCAGGTCTCGGTCCGAAGTAGCTAGGGAACCGAAATAGACCGAGCCCTCGGTCCATTTCGGTTGAGAGGGTTTCGGCTCTGATGTAGGTTCGGTCCGAGAATGGGAGGTTCGCTTCTGACAAGTTCGGCTCCTAAGAGGTTCGGTTCCTAAGAGGTTCGGTTCCTAAGAGGGGTTTTGGTTCCTAAGAGGGGTTTCGGTTCTATTTAGCTGTTTTTTGATATAACTCACCGTTTCGAGCGGTTTTTGGCCAAGTTAAGGGTCGGGATGACTATAAAAAGTTGAGAGAGATTGTGGAGAGATTTTGGGAGAGATTTCACATACTTGGAGAGATTTGGGAGAGATTTCACATTCTTGGAGAGATTTGGGAGAGATTTCACATACTTGGAGAGATTTGGGAGAGATTCCACATACTTGGAGAGATTTGGGAGAGATTTCACATACTTGGAGAGATTTGGGAGAGATTTCACATACTTGAAGAGATTTCACCTTAGCCATTATTATCGTATAATCTCGTAATGCAAGGTTCGTGAACCCCGTTATGCTTCGTTTATGATTGTTTTAAGTCCCCGAAAGGGTCCTTAGTCGTGTTTTGATGCGTTTAACTCCCTTTTAGGGTTTTTACATTGTTAACACATAGATTCTTCGAGACACTTAAATTTTTGACATACAAATGCACATTTTTATACATAGAATAACTTCTAACATACAAGCACTAATTAAATTCGACCGGTTTGACTTGTTTGACTTTGACTTGAATTTGACGATTGTCACACAATCCACGCCGAGCTAACAATCCACCATTCAACTCACATCTCATCTTTCGTCGGCTCCAACTTCTATACGAGTCTATTACCATGCTAACAAAATTATAATATTATAAATAAACATAAATTATAAAATAAATAAATATTTAAATAATAAAGTAACCATACATCGTCGATTTGAAAAAGCTGGTTGCAGTGAGTCTTTTGTAACGCCCTCAGTTTTGACCATGCAACAGCCCGATGAATCACATTCTGTTGTCGGGTACCAAACAAACTGCTCACCGAAGATTCTGAATGATAGCAAACAAATAAATAAAAAATAGTTAGAATGTTAACAAACAAAAATAAATAATAATTTTTTCATCATATACTTACCTTAAAAGCGTAAAAAAACCCCTATAGGGTGTAGGTCAATTTTTGAAGTTCGTTCTCTTTCGGTTCGTCTGGATGTATAAACTTGTCAACCATATTGAATACAGTAAAAAGATGTTTGCACAATTGATCCCAAATTATCCTCCCCCATGGATATCTACCACATAAAAAATTAGTTAACAATTAAATTTCTAAAAAATATTAGTAACGATAAGTAATTATAATCAATAATTATAAAATAAACGACATTATACTTGTTGAATTTATCAAGGTTGGATAGCAAAACGAAACACTCTTCTGTAACAGACTGTTTAGCCAACTACATATTGAAGCCCTTCTCTAACAGGTATAGAAGACATACATGGACTGCATCCTAGTCTGATAACTCATGAAGTGAATTTTTAAACACCTTCGTAACATGGTTTAATTTGGCCGAGACATTCTTTAGGACCATAGGAAAGACACGGGAACGGAAGGCGACGACGGATGCAGAATCAGGAAAATAATCACCAAACCGGAAGCCGTTGTTGAACAAAATTCTTTCTTCCTGAAAGACAGTCCGTAAACCCCAATCTAAAAAACCATTTCTTGTACTTAGCTTCGGGGGTCGGTGACAACTTTGTGGCAAAAGATGTAATGTAGAAGCAAAGGATCCCCATCTACGTTAGGAATGTATAACCACCTCCCAAAACATGTATTCCAGAACATAGTCTCGCATTCGGGTCTGTCTTTAAATGACGCAAGAATTTCTCTGTCGATTTTGGATTTACACGAGAGTGTAATTGATGTATCAAAATCCATGTCGTGTTGCACAAATAAAAAATGTGTTATCATTTCATTCTGAAATGAAAATGACCAATATTCCGGAGCAGTTCCAGACATGTTCTTCATGTTCCGGACGAGTTCATCGTGTTCCGGAACAGTTCTTCGTGTTCCTGAGGCTTCCAGAATGAAATTTTAAGATCCAGAACATGACATTTCGATGTAAATCACAATAACTAAACATTTAAACTACTTTCCAGTTGATCCTACAATAATGACATCTTTAATTTAAACTCCGGAACGTTTTCAGTGCATTCCGGAGGTGGTCTACGAATTCCGGAACAGTAACATTAGAAAAATAGGAACCTTAAACAAACAAGGAAAACGAAGATCGTAGGTCGTAGTGCTCGTCTTCCATGTCGGGGATGGGATGCGTGCCAGAGATGGGAATTGAGTCGGAATGAGTCGGAACGTCGAAATCGGAATGCGCCTTTTCCGGAATGAAATCGTCGCCTTAAATTACATTCCGGATTTTGAAATTCAGAATCCCGATTCGGAACATATACGGTTGATCCGGAATGGGCATTCCAGATTCAATGCAATGAGCCGGGCCACCTAAAAAATAATCCGAAATACGTTCCGGAACGACCCATTCCGGAATATGTGGTTATTTTGCAAGAAAAATGTTATATTTAAAAAAAACAAAGAAAAATGGTTAGATTATTCAATTACCCTTATGTAAATTGTATAGGTCAACAAAATTATGCAGAGAAGGAGTCGAACGAAATAAATATATAAATGTGAGTCCCGATTTTTTTCACATGATCGGTGGTTGTAAATCGTAATAAACGATTTTCGAAGGAAAAAAATGTGTTTTTTCACATGATCGGTGGTTGTAAATCGTAATAAACGATTTTCGAAGGAAAAAAATGTGTGAATAGTTAAATATGCATATTTAGATAGAAAAAGATTAAAAAAAAAGGCAAGCAATACACGAATATCTTACCCACTAGAGTTGGTTACATATTTTTATTGTAATACAAAAGTAGAATTTGAAACCCAAAAGTTACGGTATGACCCTAATGACAAGTTTGTCAAAGTCAAGTTCATTGTAAACCAAACAATACGTTCGAATTTCCAACCAAAACTTGACTCCAAATTTAGGAACCAACAGGCCGGCACTCATGCCCCATTCCTACATCTGTCACTATAAAATTCACTTGAGAAAAAGGATTCAAATTGAAAATAATAAATTATACCAGCAACCGGAGTGGTCAGATCGCAAGAGACTATGAAATTCTGGAAAAGGGCTTCCGGAGCACTAAAAGATCGCAGAAGTCTTCTGAAGGCGAGCTTCACTCAACAATCCGCTTTCCGAAATCCCGACATAGAAGTGGTGGTCATCAAAGCCACCACGCATGACGAAACCCGTGTTGATTACCGTAACGCTCAACGTGTTTTTGCCTGGGTGGGGATCTCTGACGACTATCTGCGACAGGTGTTGTGGGCCCTTACACACAGGATGTGGAGGTCCCACAACTGGGTGGTGGTGTTGAAGGGACTCATGCTTTTGCATGGAGTTTTCTGTTGTAAAGTTCCTGGAATTCAAGAGATAGGACGGTTACCTTTTGATATGATGAACTTCAAAGATAAGCATACAAGGCGTGGGAAATTATCCGGTTTGAACGAGTTTATCCGTGCGTATTATGTTTTTCTGGATGAGAAATCGGCCTTCATATTCTTCCATTCGCAGGAACAGAGAGATCGAAGGGTCAAGGAACAGATGGCCTTGCTATCACGAGAGGGATCGACTGAAGAGCAAAAAGAGAAATCGACAATCCAAGATCTAATTTGGTTGCAGAAACTACAAGGATTGCTCGATTTGTTGCTCCAGATCCGACCTAAGTCTAGGCAAATGGTCAACTTGCTTGTTCTTGAAGCCATGGACTGCATCGTAATCGAATTTTATGATATATGCGGCCGCATTAGCAATGGAATTGGAAGTGTTCTTCTGACGATTTACTGTGTAGGGAAAAACGACGCCAAAATGGTGTTGTCAATCATGCAGAAAGCCAAAGTTCAACATGAACAGATCTCGCTTTATTTTGATTTTTGCTGGGAGATCGGTGTTGGTAACGCCTCTGAAATCCCCAAAATGGAACAAATGCCTGAAGAAGGTATTCGACAACTGGAACAGATAATAAATGAAGCTTCAGAGCAATTCAAACTTGAACAAGAACAGGAGAAATCCATAATTGTTATGGAGCACCATGATTCGACGAAAACACCTAATCTCGACAACTCAACAACTCTGAAGACTGTGATAAGAGATGATTGGGAGGTTTTTGAAAGCAAACAGATGAAATCAAATAAGGATCCTGAGCTTATCGATTTGTTTTCTCCTCCTGGGAAGAACAACATCATAATCAATCATTTAGTGCAAGAAAACACCATTGAATTTCCGGATCTAATTAGCTTATGAGATTCAACTAGTTAGTTCAGATCCAAAACAGCATAAGGAAACTTTGAAAAAGAAATTGTAACCTTTTCTCGTCAGTATGTGAAATGGATTCATAAGATACCATGCAATGTTTCTTTCATAACAGATGTTATAAGATAGGAGAGAGTGTTTGTTCATGGTTATTGATGGAAACCGTACCTTTTAATTTGTCTTATAAAGTTTCCCTACTTTATTTTTTAAGTTGTGTCTAAGGTTTGGTGAGTGGTGTTGTCTCGGGTGCAGTTTTGCCCCGTGACAGTGAACACCGTCATCTGGGTAGTGTGGTAGTTTTGCCCCCGTGTGGTAGAATATTGTCGCACCTTTTTTCTCATTTTTTCCATTTCTTGAACATTCAACGGTCATAAATTTCGAATATATATATATATATATATATATATATATATATATATATATATATATATATTTGTCATGTATCTATTGTTAGGTATAAAACCATTAAAACTATATTACAATAAAATATTAACCGTTTTTATAAAAATTAAAAATAAATCTTGATCAATGATGCATTAAAATAATCACAATCACTTGAACAAGTAATGTATACCCATATATGAAATTGTGTTCGATCACAACCCTTGAAATCTACTCATTGTTTGTAAATTACAATAAATGAAAAGTAATTAATCCATATGAATACAATATGATAACAAATAAAACAATTAAATATAAAAAATAATTAATGTTTTACGATTCCCTCAGAGATAAATTGAAAGTTTATGCTTTGATAATTACAAAACCTAGTTGCAGTGAATATTATTAGTAGAGGGAGATAAATTGAAAGTTTATGTTTTGATAATTACAAAACCTAGTTGCAGTGAATATTATTAGTATTATCGACTCCTCGAGTTTTAATTCCTGAGGGAAAATGAAGAATATCAGCGGACATGGAAAATCATATAACCTAAAACCTAATATTAAGGATAAGATAAGTAACAATTTGGGTTGTGGTGATTTGGTAAGGCATGTGGAAGATATGGTGGATAACCTATTGACTCATGTTCAAATCCTGGTACCACACAGCCCTTGTGGCCATGGAGGTTCGCCTGCAATGACTCCAGGGCATGAGGCAAAGTCTCATGTTTGCAGCAGGGGATTAGTCTGTGCACGAAAGCTGGCCCGGAAACCTATATATATATATATATATATATATATATATATATATATATATATATATATATCCTCTATTCTAATAAATAGGTAGAATTTGTACACGTGGCAGTCAAACAGCCCCCCCCCCCCCCCCCCAATCGAATTTTCCCACTCTTTTGCATAATGTGAATTTCCGGTTATGACCTTCATTAAACACGTCCGTTCCTTTATTCTTGCACTTCAATTAGTCAATTTCCTGCAATTTTTAAAAAAACGGAAGGTAAATAATCATAATTTGATTTAACACGATAAATAAATCTGTCAAATATTTGATGCTTATCAATTCCTTAAATACCGTAACTTACCTAATTTTATTTTTTTAAATACATTATCACGGTTTTTTTCATTCACAGCAAATCCAAATTCCAAAGCAAAAGAGAACACAAAATCAAATATTAAATTCAGTTCACAATCTCTTCTTCTTTAAGGTATTTGTTTCATTCATCTTCATCTTCCTTCTACTGCTCTTTTTATCGATTTCTTTGTATATGTATCTGTTAGCGTGTGTATATGTACATGTTTGTGTGTGTACCTTTTTCTTTTTTTAATGAATGGAGTCTTGTGTTATTTGCTCGCATGGTTCTGAGTTCCAAGAAAGTGGTATTCGTTTTGATTGTAATGTTAATATTTAAACAAATGATTAAGATGATATAACATGATCAAAACATATATACTTTAAGTTGCATACATGGGTTATATAATGACTGATTTCAAGGCTTCCTAATGGTAATATGTGAAAGTGTATTTAACTGTTACTGTATGTATATAACATGCTTATCAAACTTCATTTGAATACAAGGCCAGTCTTGTCATTATTCATTACACAACAATTTTTTTTCCTCAATGAATGAATATATAAACAATGATCAGAATTGTTAGCATATATATATTTTTTGTGTTATTCTTAATAGCAATTAATAGCAATGTCCCATGTACTAATAAGATTGTCACATTGAACCTTTGTAGGGGTTGCATTAAATTTGTGACATCAGGTACACAAATAGTTCATCATTAGAATCCTACTTTTAAAAAAAATGACATTTTCAGTTTCTTAATTTATTAATTTAAGTTGCAAATTTCCTACTTTAAATCAACATAATTGTTTTCATTTTTCCTTTTTTTTAATTCTAACACAATATGTTTTATTTATCAGGGACCATATATCAATATTTATTTTAACTCTCAAATGATATAAAAAACTAGCTTTTTTTAATTTTTTTTTACAAAATCAATAACAGGGGCATAACGGTCACTTCTGTTTGTGTTTATATGTATCTGTTTGTGTGTGTATATATATATATATGTTTGCGTGTGTATATGTATCTGTTTTCATTTTTCCTTTTGTAACTAAATGGTATATGTATCAATTAAGTCTGCAATTAATACTAATTATTTTATTATAAAAAAAAGTTAATACTAATTATTTTTCTTAATGGTTTAAACAATATCTGAAAATATTTTATAATATATTGTTATTTTCTTATGCTATCAATTGTTTGCAGGAAATGAATATAAGTAATAAAGTATACCTAAAAGACATTGAAAGTTTTGCTGATGATTCACATCTCAAACTACGGGTTTTAAAGATGTGAAATTTTATAAAGAATAATATGGTCATATCGATTGAAATGATCGTCATGGACGAGGAGGTTTGTTATATTTTTTTTAACCTATTAAATATTACATATGTGTAACAAACCATTATTTCAAACCTATGTAATAATGTAGGTCAATTTTTAGTTCTTTTTAAAATAATAAAGAGAAATTTTAGCATACTGTGTATATTTACATAATTGACCCTCAAAAAATAAAGTATTAAACAATCTCGATTGGGATGAACCAAGTGGTAGAGATTATAACAAGGTTTCCAAAAATATAAAGAACACTAAAATCCGAGTTATAACGAAGAAGTTATGACCAATCGAATGTCCGCGACAAAACCGGCAAAACACTGTTCAGTGTAAAAACTGAATTTTCAATAAAAGGCTTTTCAGCCAAAACAATCTAAATGAAAGTTGTAGATTACGTTAAACCGAGAACTTTCATAAAAAGAACATCAAAATCTGACTTCGTATGAGCAAGTTATGATTTTTCTAAGTTTCAGTATAACAATATACAGCTAAAAACTCGAAATATCGATCGAGTGATTTTTAGTCGACACAGCCTAAATGAGAATTGAAGGTCTCGTCAATAGTAGTACAACGGTAAAAAGACAGACAAAAACGGACGTCGGATGAAGAAGTTATGATTTTTTAACGGATTTCCTGTCCCGGGCTGTTAAAAAATAATAATATTAAAAATAAAGTCAAAATTAGCCGACGGAGTCTAAAAGAAAGTCGTAGAGTATAATTTTACCTACGCGTTCATATAAAGAACGTCGAAAATGGAGCTCGTATGCGAAAGTTATGATTTTCGCAAGTTTTGGGCAAAAAAATCGAGAAATGTTGAAAACCGGGAAAATTCGCATGGTGTACCTTCGGCCATGTCACCCTCGCATGCGAGGCTTCTCCGTGTTTGCCTCGTGGCACCTTCTAATTGGACCGAAGTTGTTCGTGGCACCTTCTGATTGGACCGAAGTCGCGGTCCAGTAGCCATCGGACACGCCCTTCGCACGCTGGAGCTTCCGAACTCGCACCGTGCCCTCTTCCGATTGGACCGAAGTTCGGTCCACTCCTGATCCGACACCACCGAGCCAGCTGTCCGAAGCGAGCCCCTCCCCCTCGCCACATGTCCGAACACGCGGCAGCCTCCCCTTGCTTCGGATCCGAGGCTTCGACCTATATAAGGCCTGCGAGACCCTCCGGATATTTCACCTTTTTCACCCCATTTTCCACACTTTTTCACTTCTTTCACCACTTTAAAATATCCTAAAACCCCTAAAGCCCCGGTATCATATCTCAAACCCTAAGCAAGCCTCGAAGCCCCGAGATTCCCGAGAAAAACAACTTTCTCCAGTCGAAACTCTGCTCGATTTAAGCTGGTTTTTCGTCAAATAAACTCCTTCCAGGAAACGAAACGCTCTCCAAATCACCACCTATCAAGTGAGTTCATACCACCCGTATTTTCATAATTTCTATTGTTTTAAGGGGGGGGGGAATATAAGTATAACATAAGAACTTTGTGTTATAAATACATGATTTCAAATCATGATAAAACGTCATTAAATTCAAAATATACTAGAAACATTAAACTCTTTTATAAACTTATATTTTCCCCAAAATTCATATTTGTATGTATATATATATATATATATATATATATATATATATATATATATATATATAAGATTTAAAAGGCTTAGGACTGATAACTCATTCTGGGTCCTTTTCCTTGTTTGGATGTGGGCTTATAGTACCGGTTATTTGTCCGAGTGTCGTTTAAATTTTACTTATATATAGAATTGTGTATGTATATAAATATAAAAGTTATTTCATCAGTTCAAATACCCTTGTAACATGTTGAGCAAGGGGTTACATGAAAAAATAGTTAAATATCGATTCAGAAAGTACATATAAATTATAATAGGTCTTATTTATGATACATAGAACAATAATTCATGATTCAGGTATACTAGAATACACTGTTTTACAAGAAACAAGGGTTTTGATTCAAAACAAATCAAGGGTTTACAATTGTCAAATACATGTTCGGAATACTAATTCAAGAACATACTGTCAATCATTTATTTCATAATGATTGGGTTTTCATGACTAATATACATGTAACGTTTATATGATGAGTCATTTAATTCAGGTTGTTTAATTCATTTAGACAACCAAGGTAAAGACCTGATATTATAACCAGAGTCTCCA